ATACATTAATAAAATATATTATATTATGTTATATATGTTATAGATTTATATTTATATGGTTAATATGTATATGTTATCAAACACAATACCCATAACTTATTTAAACTGTTCAAAATAAAACATTCAACTTTCCAGAAGATTTAAAAATATTCAACTTTCCCGAAGATATCTTTCAAAAAAACAAATGCACCCATAGTGTCGAGAAATATAGTTTCAATACAAGAAATCTTTGTGATTGCCTTAAAATATATTTTCATTTCCAATTATAAAATTTAAAGCTTCAAAAATAGCGTAGATCAAGCAAATATATGATGGTGCAAATGCATTACAAGTATACAATTTCCAAAACTTGAAATTTTTTTTTCTCATATCCCTACATCTTGAGGTTGAGATGATCTTTGAGTTGAGCATCACAACATCCTCTTCTAGTGAAATTTTTGAGGTGAACGTTAATTTGATTGTTTAGAGCATCGCACTTGTATAAACTTTTTCTTTAACCAAAACCACCTCCTTCCTTCCTCTTTTTTTATTTTTATTTTTTTTTGGAACTGGGCCACTAAGGCATAGATTAAGGCACCACTTAGTGATGATTAATCTAAAGTAGATGTGCGTGGTCCAACCATTCTAACAACAACCAGACATCTTTGATCTTGATAATTATGATCTATAGCGTATGCTCTCTGCATTTAAATCATGTGCCCCATGGGGTTCACCCATCCAAGGGAAAGATTTTGTGTCCATAGGAATACAAAATTATAATTTTTTCCCAGCTCAAAACCCACTGTTTAAATTGGGTGATTGAAATTACAAAGAGTTTCGTAGGTCTCGACCTCTCCAAAACCAATCCTGAAAATAAACTTGACTTTAAGCATAAGAATGCTACAAATCTAGTCACAACTAAAAGGCATTCATCAGAAAAGGGTTATTTCTAATGCTTAGATTCAAATCTTATTGCAAGAAGTCACTCTAAAAACAAGAAGTCACTCTAAAAACAATCTCCTTACTAAAAACCAAAAGGAAGAAGAAGAAAAAGAATAAAGAGACCGAAAATTTGGCTTCAGTTCCAAAAATGCTCAAAACCCTTATAGCTAAATCTCAGCCATCCATTTTAAATGGACAGTGGATCGACACGATATATAGGTGTTTTTTGGAGTTCTAACCAAAACTATTTAGAAATAAGGTTGATTTCATGGTGATAGCACCACTTGAGTCTTAGCTACCGGTTTAGGTTTTTATTCCCACTAATGCTTTTGAAAACCACTTGCTATTTCTATAAACGGGTATGGGCTCGTATTCCCCACTGATCTACTTAAAAAAACCAAATCTACTTGGAGGATGATTATTTGGCGGTGCTTTTGGAGCTTTATATTCCTAAAAAGTTATTTTTTAAGTGGTGAACATTATAGTTTATTTCTACGGATACAAACATGCTTATGGATTTATAATATGGGTGTAGTTTCCATACGGATGCCTCAGTAGGTGTAGAGGTACGGTACCCTTCAAATTTTATCATGGTATATAATTTTGATGTAAAATGCTATTAGGATTATCTCAAAATCTATTTTTATATCTAATTATAAAATTTTAAATTTAAAAAATATTTAAAATCAAGTAGATATATCAACATATGAAAATCTTGAAAATGAACGGCGTAGATAGTATGTTGTAAAATGTACTATTTCTTAGACTTGAAATCTTTTTATTTTTTACAGTTATACATCTCGATGTCGAGATGATCAATCAATGGGTTTTTCAACATTAAAACTACCTTTTCCAATAGATTTTTGAGAGCCATTTGTAGTCCCACATTATAAGGTAGCATCCTTATATAAACTTTTCCTAAATGCCTATGTTCATGGTCGAGTAATGCCCAAATTCTCTTTGCTTTTAACCACTTTTGAATTCGATAAATCATGAGTTGATATTTATTATTATTATTATTATGCTTTAAAAGTAACCGGGGGTTCATTAAGATCCTTAAACTTGAAGAATTATTGACAAATTCTTCATCACCGTAGGTAAAATTACTGCCTACAACACATTCTTCCAAGTGTAAGCCTCTGAAATCTTTGATCACACCTAGATGTTATTTAGCCACCTAAGTTGAGGACCGGGGACGCTAACAACTAATAAATTCCTCCTAAAAAATAGTAAAATAAGATTGAAGAAAGAGAATCCAAATTTTGGACCGACAGATCAAATTGTTTAAAACTTTAAATTTCAATATTTTTCAAATAAAAGTTATTCTTATATGGATCGCCGTATAGAAAACCTAAATTAAATTCCCCCCTGATGTACCTTCTTGTGTATGACCTTGGCAAGGGATTTGACCTGTGTACCTCTTGTCATTAAAACTGACTCTAAGCTTCTTGTTGATTCTAAGTATCGCATTTGTAAATTTTTGTGGAGATTACGTATAATGAGGACTAATTGTATACGAAAACTTACATTGTTTGCTAATTATCAAGGGAGTCATAGAGAGGCTAATATGGTTGCTAATTTTTTGACCAATGCAACGGTTTTTATGAATAAAGCAATGGTTTGGCATGCTCGCCTCCTAGATTTTTTCATTTTATCTGATGTTGTTAGTGTACCCTTGTAAAGTGTTGTATAAAAATTGTTTATGGTTGCTTATTCTTTGGCCAATACAACGGTTTTCATGAATGAAGCAATGGTGTGGCATGCTCGCTTTCGAGACTTTTTCATTTTACCGTTGCTCGTTTATGTAACATTTTTATTTTGTTAGTAAAACGGGCAGGGTCCGATATCCCCACTGGATCACCAAAAAAAATTAATTAAATAAAAAATTTTGTTTGACAAAAAAAAAAACTAAATTAATGGTGAAATATAAATTAATTTTCACCCTGATGGGTACTCCTATCTACCCAAAACCCAACTCGAATTGTACCTCGAGTCCTGGACGCATCTAGCCCGCCATTTCCTCCAACGACCACCGTTTCTTCACATTTAAATCTTCTCACCCTCCTTTGCCTTTTTTCAATCTCTCTTCCTTCTCTTTTTTCTATCTAAAACCAGTGAAGAAGAGGAAGGAAAACCCTCTGCTTTAATGGCGGGACTCTCTTGTCCCACGACTTCTGTGTACGGATCCGCCTCGTCTTCTCGCCGCCTCTTACTTTCTCTCTCTAGATCCGATATAAGCAGAGCCAGAGTGGGTGTTCATTTCCCTGTCATTGTTGCTCCATTGAGGACACGCAGGCTGGTCGTCATGGCTACCTCCCTACATCAACAACATCTCTCCAGATCAAGCAGTCCCCCTTCTCCAGGTCCCTTCACTCTCTCTTCCCTTTCTTTGCAATTTGTTTCACTGTTATGTGAGGGTGATCTCTTTCTCTCAGAGATCTCTCCTTTCTCTCTCATGTCCTGATTTTCAATTTACTTCCCCCCTCTCTCTCTAAGAGAGGCGCATAATTTCTCTGTCGTCTTAATTCAATTCCCTTGTTTTCGATGAGACTTTTTATGTATGCAGAGGTGTTGAAAGTATGGCGCAGTGTTGATGCCGTATGCTTCGATGTGGACAGCACTGTCTGCCTGGACGAGGGCATTGACGAGCTGGCTGCATTCTGTGGAGCAGGGGAAGTTGTCGCCCAATGGACTGCCAGGTTCTGATCTTTGATAATAAAAAATTCCACTTTTCTATCTCTAGGAGATGCTTTCTGAGCTCTCAATTTATACTGGTCTTTGTTTGCTTTCTGTCACTAGATTTTGTTCTGCTTTGTGAGTTTTCTATTTTGCGGGTTTCCCATTTATTTCCCCTAAGTAGAGTGGTTTTTAAGTTTCAGTTTCATTGGTGCAGGGCAATGAATGGTTCTGTTCGCTTTGAGGATGCACTGGCTGCCAGGCTTTCTCTTTTTAAGCCTTCGTTGAATCAGGTCAATGGATTTCTCGAGAAAAGACCTCCAAGGTATCAATCTTTGTTAATTATTATTGAAATGGTATTAAATTGAGTTCGTTGCTGTGGATTATTGTGCGCATTTGGAATATCTATTGTTGGAGCTAGCCTTTAGTATCATGAATTATATGAAAGAAAACACGAGCATTCAGCTGGTTCCGCTTGATTCAAACTCAGCAAAAAAATGGAAAGAACAAATAAGTACTTTTCTGTCTTTTCAATGATTCTCATCCAGGATGAATCTATTTGTCCATAGTGTAGCTTTATTTTATGTAAAAGTATACAATTGAGACCATTTATCTTTGGTACAAGGTGGTCTCAATTAATCTTGACTATTGGATGTAAAATTAGATGGCTGCATTTATTCCATTGACCAAGCTCAAACCTCAAAGAAAATTTTCTTGCACTTTGTGACACACTCAATCTATCAGTTTTCACATCGGATGGTTGTACATAATTGTGACCACCTTTTACAAAAGTAAATGGTCTCATTGTATACAATCCCTTATTTTATTATGTTTTATTTTGTTTTGTTGGTACTAGCCTTTAGTATCATGAATTATATGAAAGAAAACACGAGCATTCAGCTGGTTCCGCTTGATTCAAACTCAGCAAAAAAATGGAAAGAACAAATAAGTACTTTGCTGTCGTTTCAACGATTCTCATTCAGGATGAATCTGTTTGTCCATAGTGTAGCTTTATTTTATGTAAAAGTATACAATTGAGACCATTTATCTTTGGTACAAGGTGGTCGCAATTAATCTTGACCATTGGATATGAAATTAGATGGCTGCATTTATTCCATTGACCAAGCTCAAACTTCAAAGAAAATTTTCTCGAACTTTGTGACACTCAATCTATCAGTTTTCACATCGGATGGTTGTACATAATTGTGACCTCCTTTTACAAAAGTAAATGGTCTCATTATATACAATCCCTTATTTTATTATGTTTTGTTTTGTTTTGTTGGAACTAGCCTTTAGTATCATGAATTATATGAAAGAAAACATGAGCATTCAGCTGGTTCCGCTTGATTCAAACTCAGCAAAA